TCCTTCTTTAGTTAAAAAAAATTAAATGGTCGAAAATAAATTTTTCAAACATTTTTTAAATTTACGTACTTTTAATAAAAAGAACATTTTTAATTTTACGGATCATTTTCCCCATCAACAAGGAATAAAATTTACCATTTCTCAGCTATATATAATTCAGTTAAATATAAACTTTCGTAAATTAACTTCCAAAAACATTGAATTATTTGCTTTTACGATTTCCAAAATATGTGTTTTTCTTTTTAAATAACTATAAAATCATTAGACTGCTTTCTCTAAAGTCAAAAAATACGACCTTTTTCAAGTGAAAGCATTTTTCAAACTTTATTACATATTTCTTAATTTGCTACAAGAAATGAAGGCTTTTTAGGAGAACAATTCAATATTCAATTAATTAATTTTCATAATTAAATTTAAAATAGAGAATTAGATTATTATTAGATTTATAAAAATGATTCAGCTCAGAGCGCTAACAATATTATTACTATTACTATTATTATATACAATACTATTTTTAATTTTACAGATAATTTTCCCCAGTATCAAAGAATAAAATTTACCATTTTTCAGTTATTTATAAACTTTTGTAAATTATCTTCCAAAAATATATTTTTTAAAACTTATACACTTTAAAAAAAATATAATAAATTTTTCTGTTTTCTAATGGGAAAATGAAAACAATTACCAACGGGGATCGAACCAAGGTAAAAGTAGAAATAAAACGGATATCTTAACCATTGCGCCACGATTACACTTACTAGGAGCGTTGTTTTTTCAATATTTATTTCAAAGTATAATGAATTGAGAAATTTTTGAGGATATATGTCACCCTAGTTATCGCAAACCTTTTGTCCTATGTGTTCAACTGTGCTCTTTTATTTAAGCTTGGTTTCGTTTTCACACGAAAAATATATTATTATATTTTCCTTTTCAGCATAAAATAAGATTATTTCAGAAAAATTCGGATCTCAGTCTTTTAAAAATGTCGATTAATTATTTTTCTTTTTCGAAAAAATGAAATCTGTCAGAAAAGATGGTTACATTACAAATATGCAAAGGTAAGATAGTTTAATCCAAACGTCACTGTGCTTTTTTAAAATGTTTGTCATATGACTGAAAAATGTTAAATTTTCTTCGTTAATGTTAGTTAAAATGATCTGCAAAATTAGAAATGTTTTTCTTATTTAAATTATGTAAACGAAAAATGAACATTCACTAAGTTTGAAGGTGATATATTATACTTCTTTATTTCGTAAACAGGTTTAGAAATCACTTTTTAGTTTTAATAAGCGAATAAGAGGCTGGTTTTTGTATTGTTTAAGTTTCTACGATTTGCTGATCGTGTGATTAATTTCAATTGATTCATACTATAGACTCAAAGTTTCCTTGTTAGCATTAAAAGGTAATACCGACGAATCGTATTTAGCATACTTTAAAGTAAATAAAATACACACGGTATTATAATCTGACAAGCATCAGATATGCTTACTAAATAACCTTTTTATGTTTATTTTGATGACAAAAATTCGATGGAAATCTCACAGAAACGTGCAAAAGTATCTCAGAAATTGGATTTGTTACGAAACAAGGCTGATTTTCAGCAATGAAAGATGGAGGATGAAAGACAACAATTTTAATCCAAATTTCATAAGAATGCAAACATAATTGACAAGCAGTCACCCCGGGGTCTGCATTGTGGACACAGCATCGTCCTCGCATCACCAACGTTCCTGGTTCAACTCCCGGTAAGTCCTTTACGAATATGTATTATCTCATTGTGTATAATGTGTATGTGTGATTTTCCGTAAACCCTCCCTCCCCGTCCGACCGCATTCGCGATTTATAACTGTTCGAAGTCTGATAAAGAGGTCGCGTGTATTACTGGAAACAATGAGCAGTTACCAGTAATAACCGTCACCACTTTTTTTTCACAACTAGTAAAATTGAGCAATTTATTTGAAAAATTATTTGTTTCATTATTTATTAACTATTTGCTTTCACGATTTCCAAAATATGGGTTTTTCTCTTTAATTAACTATAAAATCTTTAGACTACTTTCTCTAAAGTCGAAATATACGACTTTTTTCAAGTGAATAATTTTTTTAAGTATTTTTCAAGCTTTATTACAAATTTTTTAATTTGCTACAAAAAAACAAGGCTTTTTAGGAGAACAATTCATTTTTCAATTAATTAATTTTCATAATTAAATTTAAAATAGAAAATTAGATGATTATTAGATTTATAAAAAATAATTCAGCTCAAAGCGCTAACAATATTAAAAATCAACCAACAAATGCTTCTTTCTACATACTTAATGTAGTTCAATTTTAAATAGAAAAAAAGTTCAAAAGATTAAGTTCATTTCTATGAAAATTCCTTTTTTAGTTTAAAAAATTGAATGGTCGAAAATAAATTTTTCAAGCATTTTTTAAATTTACATGCTTTAAATAAAAAGAACATTTTTAATTTCACGGATCATTTTTCCCATCAACAAGGAATAAAATTTACCATTTCTCAGTTATATATAATTCAGTTAAATATAAACTTTCGTAAATTAGTTTCGAAAAACATTTAATTATTTGCTTTTACGATTTCCAAAATATGTGTTTTCTTTTTAAATAACTATAAAATCATTAGACTGCTTTCTCTAAAGTCAAAAAATACGACCTTTTTCAAGTGAAAGTATTTTTCAAACTTTATTACATATTTCTTAATTTGCTACAAGAAATGAATGCTTTTCGGAGAACAATTCAATATTCAATTAATTAATTTTCATAATTAAATTTAAAATAGAAAATTAGATTATTATTAGATTTATAAAAATGATTCAGCTCAAAGCGCTAACAATATTAAAAGTCAACCAATGCTTCTTTCTACATACTTAATGTGGTTTAATTTTAAATAAAAAAAATTTTCAGTTCGAAAAATTAAGTTCATTTTTATGAAAATAAATTTTTTAGTTTAAAAAATTAAATGGTCGAAAATAAATTTTTCAAATACTTTTTAAATTTACATGCTTTAAATGAAAAGAACATTTTTAATTTTCAGATCATTTTCCCCATCGCAAAAGAATAAAATTTACCATTTTTCAGTTATATATAATTCAGTTATATAAAAACTGTCATAAATTATCTTCAAAAAATATTTTTTTAAAACTTATATACTTTAAAGATATGCTTTATATACTTTATTTCATTGTATATACTGTGTTTGTGTGTATTATTCCGTTAACTATCACCCTCCATGCGTCTTCACATCCCGCGCATTATTACCGTTCCAAATTTTAGAAGTTGTCGCGTGTATTGCTTGAAAACAATGAGCGATTGCCAGTAATAAATATTACCACTGTTTATTAAAGCTGGAAAAAAATTAAACAGTTTTTAAAAGAGATTTTTGCTTAATTATAATAATAATTTTATCTGTTTTTAAATTTTTAAAAAGTGTTTTTTTTTAAAAACTTTTTATTTGTTTATTTTTTTAAAAGTAATAACTACAAAGTCATTAGGCTGTTTCGAAAGTAGAAATTCTTAGCGAAATATGTATATAAAATAACTTTTATACTTTCTTTAATTTCTCTTTAATAAAAAAAATTTCAAATACTCGTTTTTATCAAATAAAAATATGACTTTTTCCAACTAAAAAAAAATTTAAGATATTTTTTAAAATCCATTAAAGTTTTTTTTAAATTTGCAACAAAATACAAGGCTTTTTGAAAGGAAAAAAATTTTAAATTCAATTAAATAATTTATATATTTAAATTTAAAATAAAAAATTAGATTATTATTAGATTTATAAAAATAATTCAGCTCAAAACGCTAACCATATTAAAAGTTAATAAATTTTTATTTCTGCATGCTTAATATGTTTCAATTTAAAATAAAAAGTATTTTCAGTTCAAAAAATTAATTTCCTTTTTTTTGAAAATTCATATTTTATTTTTAGAAAAAATTAAATTATTGAAAATAAATTTTAGAAATACTTTTTAAATTTATGTACTTTAAATGAAAAGAACATTTTTCATTTTACTGATCATTTTTCCCAGCATCAAAGAATAAAACTAAAAATATTTCAGTCTAAAAAACAAAACTTTCAAAAAACATATTTCAAAAATATATTTTTTTAAAAAAATATATATACCTTTGGAAAAAAAAATTTAATAAAATTTTCTATTTTCAGGTGGGAAAATAAAAACAATAACCTACAGGGATAGAACCAGTGAGAAAGAAAATAGAAAGCGAATACCTTAACCATTTCGCCACTATTACACCTACTTTGTTTTTTTAAAAATTTTTTTTTATTTTCTCTTTTAAAGTATAATGAATTTAAACTTTGAGTATATGTAACTCCAAATATCGCCAACTGCATTTTTGACTGTATTCTTTTTATTTACGCTTGGTTTCCTTTCTACAGGAATAATAATTATTATTTTCCTTGTTAGTTTAAAATAGGCTAGTGGATTTTAAAAATTGGAATATTCTGGAAAAATACATTCCCATGTTCTTTTAAAAAGGTCGAATAATTTTTTCTTCTTTTTTGAAAAAATAAAAATTGCTTGAAAATCAGTTGCATAATAAATATCATTTTACAAAAGCGAGATATTTTAATCTATATGACACAGTGCTTTGCTTAAAGTGGAATTTAACGAGAAATGAACATTCTCTACAGTTAAAAGTGATATATTAGAGGAGAAGGTGTAAAAATGGGCACAGGTGTAAATATGGGCACCCCTCCCTAGTAGCTATGGGAGGTACTGAAGACTGGCGGCGAGGACTGTATATGGCGCCAGTTGCTAATATAGGATTGTACAGAGCAGTTGAAACCATTTTTTCAAGTAGTGTGGATGCAGCGTGAGTTATTGTGCAAATTGGTGTTTATTCTGGACTGCAAACTTTTGAGAGGTATGTGAAATCGTTTTCTTTTCATGTACTTATGTTCAGTTAAAAATAATTTGACAGTGATATCCGGAAAGCGGAGATCTTAAGCTATTTTTTGAAGCACACCTTTAGTCACGCACGCTTTTAGGTTACTTGTGATAGTGGCCATCCTTCTTAGGTGGGGTTGGTGTAAATATGGGCCCCCATTTAAAGGGTGCCCATAATTACACCAACTTTTTTTAGTGGAGTTTAGCACATCAGGCTCTAGTTATGCCAATTGATAAGGCAGCTGAAATACCTCAATGTTCCCCGGGAACTTCAAGTGCAATTTCTCCGTTCGACATATCTCCTGTTCCCAACATTAAGAAGATAACCACTACTCGTGGACGCAAAGCAGCAAGGTCCAGCCTCATCACCGGATTACCATACAAGGATCAGTTGACCAAGACGCTTGACAAGTGCTCTCAAGAAGACGTCCTTGAGTTTTCCCGGGGTAAGAGACCGGCCAGAGGGCAGGGTGGGAAGACGAAAGGCCTTCAAAAAAAGAAAATTCGGCCCACGCAACGATACGATTCATCATCGGACTCATCAGACTCGATGACCCTCCTCTTATCTACAGCGATGATGATACGAATCTAATAAATGTCAACGGTGGGGATAAACCAGACTCAAGCGATGCAACTTGCAGTTTTTGTGATGGAAAGTTCTCTGAAGACACTCGAGGAGAGGTGTGGGTAAGATGCGTTATGTGCCAAATGTGGGCACTGTGCCGGGGGTGAAAGAGCCAGTTATGTTTGCGATTTCTGTAAATAATTTTTTTTCCTGTAATAAATAAATTCTCTACCATTTTGTATTGTTTTATCCTGTTTTTAAACTATTTTTGGTGGCTTTTTTGAAGAGGGCCCATATTTACACCCCATTTTTTCTGGTGCTTTTTTAAAAGATTTTTGAAAATCGTCGTTTTTGAAATGAAATAATTGATGTTAATCATTGTTTTGCCCTCTCGCATTTAGGAAACTTGTTATAGTTGTTAATGAAAGACAAAAATCTAGAAATTTTCAAATTGAAAGTAACTTTATCCAAAAAACAAAAGAGGGTGCCCATATTTACACCTTTTCCTCTATCACTTTATTTCCTAAAGTATTCAGAAATCGCTATTCAATTTTAATAAACGAACTAGAGACAAGCTTTTTCATTGTTAAAATTTCGATGATTTTCGAATTGTGTGATTTATCTAAGTTTGATTAATACTTATAGATTCAAATTTCCCTTGTTAGCATTTATTAAAAAATAATACAATGCCCACGTATTTTATATACTTCACAGCAAATGAAATACATACGATATTATAATCTGACAAACATCAGATACACTTACTAAATAACGTTTTTCTGGTTATTTTGTTGGCGTAGACAATTGCAAAATTTGATAGAAATTTCATAGGTACGCATAAAGTTGCCGTAGAAATGAATTCGTTATGAAACAAGGCTGTTTCTTACCAAGCATGGAAGAAAGATGAACAATTTTAATCCAACTTTTATTAGGATGCAAAAATAATTGCCAAGCAGACACCCCGGGGGCTGCATAGTGGAAACAGCATCGTCTTCGCATCTCAAAGGTTCCTGGTTCGACTCCCGGTAAGTCCTTTACGAATTTATACTATCTCATTGTGTGTAATGTGTTTGTGTGTATTATTCCGTTAACCATCCCTCCCCGTCCGACCGCATTCGCGAATTGTAACCGTTCGAAGTCTGATAAAGTGGTCGCGTGTACTACTGGAAACAATGAGCAGTTACCAGTAATAACCGTCACCACTTTTGTTCACAACTCGAAGAATTTTTTTTTACGCTAGAAAAAATAGTTTTTACAAAAAACTACAAAATATTTATTTTTACGATTTCTAAACATATGGTTTCTTTTTTTTGTTGAAAAAAGTAGTAACTATAAAATCATTAGACTGGTTCTAAAGTCGAAATTTTTAATGAAATAAATATATGAAATATTTAATATTAAAATGATTTATGTACGTTTTTTTTTACATTTCACTGCAATATTAAAGATTCAAATTTTCGTTACAGAGTTTATCAAAAGAAAATACGATGCTTTTCAAGTGAAAAAATATTTATACTATTTTATGAAATTTAATACAATTTCTTTTATTTTCCACAAAAAACAAGACTTTTTTAGGAGAAAAATCTATTTTCTTAATTTAATTTAAAATAAAAAAATTAGATTATTAGATTTATTGAAATAATTCAGCTCAATACGTTGATAAGATTACCAGATCAATGCTTCTTTTGACGTAGTAAATGTGGTTCAATTTAAAATTAAAAAAAATTTTCAGTTCAAAAATTAAATTCATTTTCATGAATGTTCATATTTTAGTTTAAAAAATTAAACTGTCAGAAGTATATTTTAGAAATATTTTTTTTCATATTTATATTCTTTAAATCAAAAAAATATTTTTCATTTCACAAATTATTTTTCCCAGCATAAAGAATTAAATTAAACATTTTTCAATTTAAAAAATGAAATGTACGAAAACTATAATTCAAAAAAAAATTATTTAAATTTTTTATATACTTTAAAGAAAAACGTAATTCATTTTCTATTTTCAGATAAGAACATAAAAGAACTCACGTACAGGGATTGAGCCATAGACACAGTCAATTGAAAGCAAATCTAGTACCTAAATAATAGTACCTTAACTATTGCGCCACGATTGCACTTGCTCGGACAATTATTTTTTTAACTCATTTTGATATATTACCAATTTAAACTTATATGTTACCCCAGTATAGCAAACATTTTTATCCTGTTTTTTTTTAACATGCTCTTTTATTTAAGCTTGATTTCTCTTCGACAGAAATAATATATTATCGCATTTTCCTTGTTAGTATAAAATAAGCTAGTGGAGTTTTTTTAAATTAGAATATTTTAGAAAAAACCGTGCCACGGTTCTTTAAAAAAGTCAATTCATTTTATTTTCGAAAAAAAGCAAGTTTTAGAAAAAATCTGAAATTATTAAGATAATTTTGCAGAAGCAATATAGTTTAATCCAGAAAGCACAGTGCTTTTCGAAAGTAGCATGCAAAAAAATGAACATTCGCTGAGTTTGAAGGTGATATATTATCACTTTATTTCGCAAACGGGTTTAGAAATTGCTATTTAGGATTAATACGAATAAGAGACATTTTTTTTATTGTTTTAGTTTCTACTATTTGACAGTTGTGTGATTGATTTCAATTGGTTTATACTATAGAATCGAAGTTCCCTTGTTAGCAAATACAATCCCGATAAATCGTATTAAAGCAAATAAAGCAAATAAAAAAATAAATATAATCGCTTTAAAGCAAATGAAGTATATACGATATTATAATCTGACTAACATCAGATATACTTGCTAAATAACCCTTTTATGCTTAATTTGTTGGCATTAAAAATTGCAAAAATTTGATAGAAATTTCACAGGAGCGTGCAAAAGTATCTTAGAAATTGGATTTGTTAGAAAACAAGGCTGATTTTAGCAATGTATGGAAGAAAGACGAACAATTTCAATCCAAATTTCATTAGAAAGCAAACATAATTGCTAAGCAGACACCCCGGGGCCTGCACAGTGGATACAGCATCGTCTTAGCATCACAAACGTTCCTGGTTCAACTCCCGGTAAGTCCTTTACGCATTTGTATTATCTCATTGCATATAATGTGTTTGTGTGTATTATTCCGGTAACCATCCGTTTCCGTTCGTCCGCATTCACGAATTATAACCGTTCGAAGGTTAATAAAGTGGTCGCGTGTATTACTGGAAACAATAAGCAGTTATCAGTAATAACCGTCACCACTTTTTTTCACAACTAGGAAAAATTAAGCAGGTTATATGAGGAATTATTTGCTTTGTTATTTATGAAATTTTTTTTTTCTATGCTTTCATAATTACGTATTTTTCTTTTTAAAAGCAATAACTATATATTTGACTACTTCTTTCAAAGTCGAAATTCTTTCTAATTAATATATATATATATCAATACATTAAAGTACGGGTAGCAACTATCTTAGTAGAAACCAAATGTGTAGTAGATTCATCAGAAATATCACATTCACCATACATTAAGTTGAGAATAATCATAAAATGAAAGCAATTTTTATTCCTTCAGTAAATAATCTTAGCTAAAACTAAGTGAGAAATAATATTTACATTTATTTTAAAAAAAACTACTTTTGTGTTTCGATGATAAAAATATTCTGCTATCTTACAGAAAATATAGCCTATTTTAGAAAACCTTGCGCATTTAATTGTAGTTGCGTGGCGTGATGCGTTAGCCCGAGTCCGCACGACATGAGAAGATTTCAGCTGAAAGATACCGTCAAAGAGCTTTACTTTAATTTGCATCTACTTAAGATAATTAGCCCGTTTAAGCGACTTTTCTTTCCACAAATTCATGTCTCGAAGATAACATTTTCTTGAAAAAAAATTGTAACGTAAAGTAATAACTGTTCTTTTTACAAAAGTTGAGTAAGGTTATTTTTTGGAGTATTTTAATTACTGTATATTATGAAACGATTTTTTTTTGTTTCTTTCAATCTAGTGACTAATTTTTTAAGAAAAAATACTATAGTCGTAGTGGGTTTCATTCATACTTTTATATTCTTAAATTTTTGACATTTATAGTGTAGCAAGAAATAAGATTTTGGCACTTATAATATACTAATTTTAATGCTCATTAAAATATTAAATATGAAAATTAAAACTACAAGGAGTGATCAAATGAAAAGGTACGAAACGACGTAAAAACGTAACAGTTAAATATTTGCGTACTCCGACATGGGAGAACGTAGTGAGACTTCTCGGGATGCGTTTGGAGCCTCTGACTGGAATCGGAGCATGCGCGAGCGCCCGCATGCGCAGGAGAGAGCAGAGGCTCTTATCAAACGCTGCGTCCAAATGATGCAGCTGTCCGTATGAGGAACAGAAACTCGAGCACAGCAAAACCCTTAACTCCTATGTGTACTGTGAGACACTCCGACGCCTACGCAGGTTCATCAAGAACAAAGGACCGGGCTGCTCACGGAGGGTGTACTTCTGCTCCATGATAACGCGCATCCACGCGTCTCCAGAGTCACACACATGGAACTGGCCAAGTTCAAGAGGGAGATGTTGGACCATCCG